AAAGGAGGTTTTGGTGACCCAGCGGTGAGTAAAGGGTGAGTCAGAAAAAGAAGAGCGAATATCATCAACCTTTTTTTCAAAGTAGTTAACAAAGTCGCTTGACAGAAGGGAGGAGGGGGAAGGGGCTTTGGGGGGGGGTCCAAGAGGGTGGAAAAGATTGAAAATAGTTTTTTGGGATTGGAATAGGAAGATTGGATCTTATCTTGAAAGAAAGTGCTTTTTGCCTGAGAGATCGAAGCAGAGAAAGAGGAGAGGAGAGCCTGATAGGTTAGGAGGTCGTCATGGTATTTGGGTTTCCACCGTTTCCGCTCTGCTGCCCGAAGGATGGTTCTATTAGCACGCAGTGCGTCATTTAGCCAGGGAGAGCTATATAGCTGGCTTATTTTATTTTACATCCGGTTCCTGGAGACTGCCCTGAAGAAAAAGTGTAGTTAACCCACAGTTCAGCAGTCTTTTTTTATCATTATAGCAAGGCTACATATCAGATGCATTGTTCTATGACTTTATTACAAGTGGATTATGCAGTTAGCACCTGTAGGGATTTACTGTCTTTCTCAACAACACTTTGACAGGGACGATACTTGTAAGCAGAGGACATGAACCGACCTGCTGACTAAAAACTCTGCTGACCCTTTAGATAAATGTTTCTCTTGCTGTTAACACTGCTACAGAACAATCTAAACATCTCCCATCATGCATATGAATGGTACTTTTTGTGTGTGTGTGTGTGTGTGTGTGTGTGTGTGTGTGTGTGTGTGTGTGTGTGTGTGTGTGTGTGTGTGTGTGTGTGTGTGTGTGTGTGTGTGTGTGTGTGTGTGTGTGTGTGTGTGTGTGTGTGTGTGTGTGTGTGTGTGTGTGTGTGTGTTTCTTGTAGGAGTGTGGTGGTGCCTGTGAAGAAAACCTCCCCTGGCAGCCTAGCAGTTCACACAGGGGGAGGCAGTAGCAGCACCTCTGCTGGGCTGACAGCTGGCAGCACTCCCAACATCTTTGCTGCTGCCTCTGCGACTCCCAAAAGCATGATCAACACCACAGGTAGGTCACGCACAAGGGTACTGGAATATACTCCTATATTTAAGATACTAAATGTAGCCCTGGTAAAGTGGTTAATTTCAAATTATGGATGACCTTTCTTTCTGTGATGCCATTCCAAGAATTGAAACAAAGCTGCTGGATCATGTGAGCCTGTATGCCTCCGCAGGGGCCTGTTGTAACCACTAGAGGGCCCTCTTCACCTTCCTATCAGCGTCTGCTGCAGCTCTGCTGTGGCAAATAAAAAATGCTCTCCTTCAGCCGCAAGCCTTCCTCCTGATACAGCCAAACCACAACAACTCCATTTTAATCCACCGCAGTAGATTGTAACAGGGAATATTATTGGTACGAATGGCTCTCCTGTGTTCTGTGTGTTCCTGTCTGATTGACTGCAGGGTCCCCCCCACCCCCGCTGTCACGCTGCTTCTCTCTGGGCTCTGCTGCATTTAGCCAGTTCCACCTCAGGGCTCCTGTAGTCCAGGCCTCTGAAAGGACCCACTTAACACCAAGAACCATTAGGAGCTCCAACACCTTTTTAATGTGCTCCATTAAAAAAAGTCTCCCTCTCCTCTCTCTGAGCCCCTCTGCAGGAATGTGAGAAATGTATCCAAGTCAAAATGTGCTTTGAGCTAACGCCACAGGCCCTCACCCAGACCCGTGATCTCACTCGATATGATGTTCTCCTCTCACAAGGACAAGTCATGATGATGTTATACTTGTGTCTCAGGGTTTACCTTTACATTACTACACTCAGATAGCCTGACTTGGCTTTGATACTGAAGGAAATGTTAACTTACAAATTTGATGCATCGTCTTGGTATGACAAATTGTTCCATATGTTGCTGCTGGCACTGCTTTGGTCAACCAGCGGAGGTGCACTTAGATTTAGTTACAGATTGGGTGCACGATGTGACATGCTTACCAAGTTTTCATTTGTTTAACTTGGTTGAAATTTGCGCTGACTGCTAAAGTCCACAATTGAGCCAGACTGCGGCTGTTTTCCTATAACTTGCCATTCTGTTTTCTTCCTTCCGTTTTTTTGTCTGTGTGCCATGGCATTCATGTACAGCTTCTGGAGGTGAGACTGAATTGTAACTTTAGTCAACATATTCTAATGTGTTTTAAATATTTGACAAAAAAGCTGTACTATAACAATAAAATACTACATCATTTACAGTATCTCACTCTTATCGTTGCCCCTTCCCTTTGGAACTCACTTCCAAAACACATCAGAAACTGCACCAACCTCCCCAACTGCACCAACCTCCCCAAAACATTGACAACAATGAATATTTTTTAGACTGGCTTTTAATGTGTGATTAATGTTGTGTCCTAGAGTTAGATGTTATGTAAGCTCGATTTTACTTTCAACTTTTATTTTTTACATGTATTATTATTAGGCCTACATGTATTTCGATACCTAAAAGTTGATTGTTACCTCTGTTAAATTTGTAAAGATTATTATACAACAATTATAATACATATTAAACGGTAATACTAATATGGAATGCTGCTGTTGGTCTTTACTGCAGGAGCCACGGATGCAGCCCCCTCTTCCTCCTCTTCCTCCAGTTTTGTGAACGGAGCCACCAGTAAGAATCTCCCGGCCGTGCAGACGGTGGCACCCATGCCTGAAGACACAGAAGAAAGCATGAGGTACAGCATGGCCCTCTCTGTTCAGCACTACTTCTATTTCCTGTTAGCTAACATTATTATTATTATTAAAATGTTGCACCTAATGTTTTAAAATCTACTCGTATACATATTCGAGGGTGAAAAGCTTTCAAACGCATTTTATTTGACATAGGTAGGTATTTTCTTTGTCTCTGCATTGTGAAAAACAGACGACAAATAAAAGTTGAGGTGTTTTTGTCTTCAGGCAGTAAAGTGGGGCCTAATTCTTTGTGTATATTTGTGTATTTCGGTGTGTATATCTTGTCGTGACCTTGACTCATCTGCTCTAATAGTTTGTGACAGGCGCCCTTAGTCCTGCTCTCCCCCTGACGGCTGAGCGCCCAGGTCTTTCTCCAGACTCTCTCTCTTTCTCTTTTCAGTTGCCATGGCAGCAGTAACCGACATCACTTAGCGTAACTGTGAAGTCAATGATAGGACTGTCTCGCTGCAGTCTCATATCTGAGATGAGCAGAAAAACAGCTAGGCTAAACTGCCTGCTCCACTATGAACTGAAAATAATAAATATGACTATAAATATGGATTTGATCATATGTATTGAATAATTTCTTCATGTAAAAAAATAGCTAAATCACAAAACAACATGAAGCAAGTTCTGCCTGTGGTTTCATTTGCAATTGTTCTTTCTATTTCAGCGCCTTTTGTGAAGTGGACCAGTGTTCACTGCGCCAGGGACAGACCCCTCCCGAGCTCAAACCCTTTAGCTCCCTGACAGGATTACAAGCAGCCTCCAGAGATGCAGGCCAGTGTCTTAGGCAAGGACATTTCTGTTAGCCAGACCCACTTCACCCTGCTTTGAATGCCAGTGTGTCATCCCCATGCTCTGTTTTCCCAGGGTGCAGGAAGGCAGATTACACTCTACACCCCCATACTAAACCAATCCTTCCTCTCCTTTTTTTGTTTCTCCCTACCCTGCTGCTCTCTGCCTATCTTAGCTGGAAAAACAAGCCTTTTCTGTCCTCATGTTGATGACTAGTATCAGTGTGTGCGACATAAGAGTGCAGAGATATGTTGCAGCTTGAGTCGTATCTCTGCTTGTATACAGTGTGAGTTGTAAGGCTGCATGACTCCAGCTCACAGTTTCTCCGAGGCTCTTGGATAATGTCAGACAGCAGCATGTAGTGAGTGTGTAGGAGATAAGGAACTTGCCTCTGCAGTCTGCAGAAAAACTGTGATATCCGATGTTTAAGCCTGGCACGATAACACAACAAAGAATGCAAACAACGGCTGATAAATCCTCTTTGACAACAATCGAATGTTCTCTCATCTCCAGTGATAGCAGCTTTAATCTCATGGATACCTAGCTTGGTTTGCATCCTCTGAAATGTGTTAGTTACCCTCTGCACTCAGAGACCCTATCAGTGTGGCTACATGCTAACTAGTACTAGCTGTGTGCACCTGGTTGACACTGAGGGTGCATTTTTTCTGCCATACCCTTGATGAAAGGGCACAATCCTACTTCCCTTACATTTCTACTCTAATTCAGGTGTCTCATTTCCCTTTCATGACTTCTTTCTTGATGTGTTTTCTTTCACAGCATAACTACAAAGCTGGAGAGGGCCTTGGAGAAGGTGGCCCCCCTGCTGAGAGAGATCTTCGTGGACTTTGCGCCCTTCCTGTCGCGCACCCTGCTGGGAAGCCATGGGCAGGAGCTGCTCATTGAAGGTACAGATGTTGTCTAGTTCATTTCTTTCTTCAAACTGCCCCAACCACCCTGCTCGCCCTGTTTGTAGTACACCGGCTGCCTCATTGATGGATGCATACGCAGTGGTAGGTGTTGACAGCAAAGTCACTATTTTGCACACAAGCTAGGAGTCTGCCAAGAGTGATTATATCTGCTCTCACTTTCATTCATCTTCTGACGGCTGTGTGTTTTGCTTTCTTCATGATTCACTCCACATATTCAGGATTATTCCGAGATGTGGTATTTTTAAACATCCTTGTTTCACAGTCACGACAGATGTCACGTTGAAATGAATGTTGGACTAATTGGTGGCCTTTGCCTCATGCCACTGATATTTTAAGCTTCTCAAGGTTACCCTGCTGCTTGGTGGATTTTTGTCTTTTTGAAATGAACTCAAGGGAAGTGATATTTGTCTGCGGTTTGCCATTTTAGGAAAATCTAAAACCTTTACCAGTATTTACATTGGAAGTAAATTGACCCTTTTTTAAATTTTTTGCATGAAAGAATCCAGCAGATTTTTCCACACAGTCCGGGCCAAATCCAATGACATGGAAAGTGAAATTAAGTAAGGCTAAAATGGATCCTGTAACATTTGTATTATTCTTAAAGGTAAGGCAGTAAAGGTAAAGAGTCACATCGGTCACATTGCATATCTGCACTGGTCTGACTGGCTTGGTTGTGCACATTGTGTACAGGAGTGTGAGATGCTCCTGCTGCACTCTACTCTTATTTCCTGGTGGTTGTGTGAAGGCTCCCAGGTTGGCACTCTCTCTAACCTCAGGGACTCTGCCTGCATGTGTGCACTCTGCCAGTCTATTCCCAGAGCTTATTTTGGCTTTAATACAAGAACACACACACACACACACACACACACACACACACACACACACACACACACACACACACACACACACACACACACACACACACACACACACACGGCACAAGTGCTTGAGACTGTTTCTGTAGACATTTGTCTGTGGGTGTCCTATGTGGAATATGTGTGTGTGGCCTCCAGTCTCTTGACTTGACAAATTGAAATGATATCTCAGAGTTTTCTTACTGCCAAAATCTTATAAGAGTTAGCTGAACCAATATTAGTTCAGAGGATGACAGCAGGCTGGAAGAATGCATTCTGGTGACTTTATTACTGCAGGATCCAGAAAGAAGTTGACACGTGTCCGCTTTCCTAAGCATAATCTATTGGTAGGTTTGCAGTATGTAAACAGCAAGCTACCCTGCAAATGTATTTGATTGCTGCTTGCATTCATTTTTTTACTCACAATTTTAAATATAATATTTTGTTTTGATGTGGCTTATTTAAAAACGAAAAACGTTATATCTAAAATTTGAAGATTATTTGTCTTTCGAAATCAGGATTTGTAAGTGGTATTTATTTCAGGCTTTTAAAGTAATCTACTTGGGAATGGTTAATCATCAGCAGAGTCTTGTTTTTTTTTGTATTCTGTATCAAAAAAAGTTCTTGACTAATGCCATTACGAACATTCAAAATATTACAGTTTGTTTGTGTTAAGTATTTTTTTAAGTGTTTCCATTTGAGCAAACAGGCAGTTTCCTCCATACATCTTGTATACGCCTTTCACATACTGTGTGTATAGTGTATATATATATGTATGTAAATAGCCATGTATGCCAGGGCATGTGGCCAAGGCTCCTCACTCACAGTCAGGGGAAAGGAATACAAAATCAGGTAGCATAGCTTTGACAAGTGTGAATATGTCTGTTACCCTTTCACTCAAAGTCTGTCAGCGGACTGACCAAGCTGACAAACCAGAGCTGAGCTGAGTGTAACCCCACAAACAAGGTCGTAGATGGACAGCTCGGGCCTCAGTGCTCCTCACCAGATGTGTGTTACCCTGCCTGGGACTGTTCAAAGTGCACCCTGACACGAATTAGAGCAGGTTTATCAAAAAAAATGCACAGATTTAGCACATGGACTTTAAATATTTATATCATCGAGCCTCTCTGGTTTTGTCCCAGCTGTAGTGTGTTTGTCCAAACTGCTTGAGCTGTTCCCCCTCTTTCTCCTTTTCTTCCTGTCCCTTCCCAGGCTCACAGTTGAAATACTGTGCTGTAGTGCAAAGGCGCTCCATTTACCAGTAATTACCAGTCATCCATCACTCCTTAGATTGCTCGGGGTCAAGCCCCCCTGTGCCCCTTGTGCCCCTTTGCCTCACCCTATTCCTTCTACCCCCCTGCAGACGTGGTCACTGCAGCAATTATGTTGAGTGCACCCTGAGCTTTACACTTGGAGTTGGTGGCTGAGGCCTGTGTGTGAACACTGCTGCTGTTGTGATGCCTGCCGCCTGCTTCTTGCTGTCCCCTGAGTGGCCCAGCCTGCCGGCACATTGCCCCACAATGCCACATTCACCCGTGCCTTAACCCTGCCCTGTTTACAGGAAAGGACTGGCAGCCCGTGTTTAAATAGATTGCATTTAGTTTGTCTACCAGCACAAGGCCGGGGTCAGTTGGTCACCTGACTCCTGTGTCAGAGCGGCTGACTTATGGCTCAGCATGTCACTGCTATAACAAGAGGTCAGCAGTGGCACTCTGTGTACAAGAGAAGGGTCACATCCTCTCAGAGTATTTACAATACGCTGCCTCGGACACTCTCTGCTCATGAATAGAGACGGATGTGAAATTGGTGAGAAAAACATCCATCTATCCAGTTTTCTGAATATTTAGCATTCTTTGTAATATAGTACAGCATTTACACAAGCACAACTACATACATTTAATGTTTATATCTTATGACATCAGCTTAAATATTTATGTTATTTTCTCTTTTTAAAAGGCCTGTCAACCAATTTCAGATTCAAGTCTTTTGGAGTTTAGTGGTGGGGCTGCACATTTGTCTAGAGTGTATTTAATTGAATTACGTTTTTTTTGGATAATTTTAACATTTTATTCACAGTGCAGATAAAACAGGGTTCAGTTCAGTTAATTAATTCAGTGTGGGGTCTGTTTCCCACTCTGAAAGGCGTAATAATTTAATGTCACTCCCTGAGAATGTAGTCATTGTTATCACAACCAATAATGCATACTATAATTTCTTTAAAAGAATATATAAATCTTTGGTTTATAACTTTTTCAAGAGTCAAACATTGAAACAATTAACGAAAAAGAAAAATGACTCTCTTTGACCTACACATATACGTAAACTGAAATGTTAGATTAAGAATATGTTTCTTCTCTCTTCTGATCAACACCCTGAAACAATGGCGTCTGTGTGGCTCGGAGTTCTGCTCCTGCCAGCCTATAATGAGTCCTACAGGGTTGCATTCTTTCCTTCACTAATGACTGCACCTTTAATGGTTCTCGCCAAGTGAAACAGAAGGATCTGGAGGTGTAGAATTCGAGACCAGTGGCAGCCATTGTTTCTGCAAATGAGCTTTTCACACCTGCCCTTGTTTCATTAGAGAGTTGTCTGCTTCTGCGGCTCACCCTCTACAGAATGGAGATGAGGGAAGAAGCTGTGAATGTCTTTGTTCACTCCTGTGAGCGTGTGTGTATGTGTGAGGGTAGAAGGTTGGGGGGGGGGGAGCTTCTCGCATGTGTACATCTGTTCATGCTAATTATTATTTTCTTTGGAATCTTGAAATGTGGATATTCGAAGCTCAATTTAAGGGGCTTTCAAATTAACTTGCCACTGCCTGTAATTTTCCTTTTGCCAAAAACAACATTTATTTCTCTGAGTTTTATGTCATGGAAATTTAAATCTGAATATTTATTTCAGTAATATTTCAGTATCATAGATATTCTCTGTTTTAAAATCCTTCTGTAAAAACCTTTATAGTTACTCATTCGGTTCATCTGCTTTGTCTCCACAGGTCTGGTGTGTATGAAGTCAAGCACCTCAGTGGTGGAGCTCGTCATGCTGCTTTGCTCTCAGGTGAGGTGTTTTTTTTTTCTCCTTCTCAATCCTTTTTCCCACCCTGTCTTTCGCTTTTTCTCTCACATTTGTGTCAACACTACGACAACACTGTACAGATCTGTTAGGGGGCTGCTTTAAAGTTTGTGAATGGACTTAAACTGTGAGGACTTTTATCTCATCAAAATATACACACAAGAAATAGGCTTAGTCTAATCACAACTGTATATTGTTAAATAAGTCTATGGTTTGTGCTTTGTTAAATGCTTAGGATACTGTCTTTTATCAGAGAACACTTTATTTAATTTCTGTTCAAGCTTGGCTTATAAGTGTATTTACTTTTGTAAATCTTCCTTAAGCATATTTTAAAACTCATAGTAACCTAAACATAGACAAATAGAGACATAAACATCTCTCTGAGAATACAGTTTCTCACCACACCCCAGAGCTTTGACTGAGTCCCACCTCATGCAGCGCGGCTAGTGACTGATCACCTCCGAGCTGACCCTCTGAAGCTCTTGTTAAGCCCTTGTTTTAGAGAAGGTCAAAGCCTCAATGTAGCAGTTAGAACAAGAGATATTTAACATACCTTCTGTCAGCCCATCAGTCTTGTGTCGGGGGCCCATAAGGAAGCCATTACTTGGTGCCTCTTTGTGGATCCAGACTGCAGGGCCAGAGCCTCGAGGAGGTTGATCGCCACTATAGGCGCTCTGTGGTATCCGCAGTCCAAAGCCCTCCTCAGCAGGGAGCTCAGCCTCTGTTATATGGAGGCCATCATTCAGGGGCTTTCCTCCAACAAAAAAAAAGGTACATAAATGGAGCAGCCAGCATTGAGTTATTGTTGCTCTTTTGAAGGATTTTGACGAGCTCCCTTATTCACTGTCTGTAGAGTATCTGTGGGAAGTGGCTTTTTCCAGCTCTAGGATTTATTGCAGATGAGAGCGTCAGCATGCTGTTAAAGGTCTGAGTCCACCCCCTCACCCCCCTTTACACAGATAGCATTACTGCGGCTCCAGAGGTTCCTGCTATTAGGGGCTCTAGGGATGAAACCTAGGCGGAGATATCGATCAGACAGTGAGGACTTGAAACTGGACCATAGTGCTTGGTGTCCCTCTACAACCTTTCAGATAGAGAGGAGCCATTACTGTGTATCCTAACCCTGCACCATCAGTACTGAATCCAGTTGTGTTGCCAGCTAATGTGATCCAAACATCTCACTGTGATGATGAGTAATGTCAGTGTCTTCTACTTATTGCAGGTAACACAGCTGAGATATGCAAAGCTCTTTTACCCTGAGCAAATACAATATTTGTTGTGACTGATAATTACATTAAAATGTGCTCATAATTAATGTCTGCTGTATTAAAAAGTGCATCTAAAGTGCATGGTGAGCTTTGACTCATCACTATAAAATGACAACTTCAACATATCACTCACATATTTCAACATTAATGTTTTCAGACAGCAAGGAGGGCACTTAGCTGACCTTTAGTCCCTCTCTGTTTTGTTACCTGTCAGTTTAATGAATGAATTAGTGCTAATGATCTGCCTTTTCTTATTTATGCATACTTATCACAGCAATCATAGTGTGGCTGGCCGCGGCTGCAGACACGGTGTGTCTCTCCTCAGCCTGGGCAGCTGAAGGAAAAGGTCAAGCAGCTCTGTTTCTTGTAACAGCTTAAACATACTGGGGGGATCTAGAGTGGAGCCACAGAGATTTAGTGATGGAAGGTCTCCAGATGTGGAGAGTATACCAGAGCAAAGCAGAGCAGATAAAAGATAAAGAAAGGTTGGATTGAAACACCACAAATAAATAGTGCCCTGCTCTGTTTCAGCAGGAGGAAAGTGGGAGGAGAGAAAGTCTTATCAGGGCCAGAAAACTCATCTAGTGTTAATGCAAAGATGGAAGAACTATTGCTCCAGTTGGTAACCATTGGTACCATTGCTCCATGTTATTGATGAATGTCCAACATTTCCCAGTTTTGCATATTGGGTCAAAGAATGCACATGTTTATTAGCAGCTATTAGTGAATTAAATTGTTGTTTACATACAAATACATCAATCTATTTATTTCCCTCACTCTCATTAACATTTTTCCAGTAGTAGCAGGCAGCTGTTCAGCAAACATATCTGCCTTTCCTGTAGCTAACACAGTGTTAGCAGGTTGTGAGAACATTTGTATTCGAAGTATAGAGTAGAGGAATCTACACCTGAGGTAAAAACTGAGTGACTATTGGACTCTCCTTTGGCAGGCCGCCTGAAAACATGACTATAATAATGTAAACATTAGCCATGCCTGCTGGATTTTTGGGTATGCAATTGTTAGCTTCTTAGTTATTTACCTGATTTAAATATTTGCAATTTCAGATGTTTACAAAACAAAAGTGTCCATAGCTTAAATCACGTCAGTTGTCTGTTTTCTTTGATCTGTCAAGCAAGGCCAATCATCAGGTTAAACATTGAACTGAATGACATATAATCTGGAAATACAGCAGAGGGTAAAATGATCATGAAACATCTGAAAATTAATGTTTACATTTTCCAATTAAAGTGCTGAAGTAAAGTGAAATTCATACTACAGACACCATTGTAATCTAATCATCACCATCTCTGCCACCCTATGTATTCCCCCGCCTGTCCCTTTCTCTGTGTCTCCTCACTTGTCTCCACCGCCAATGTGTGTAAAAAGAAAATATAAGATCATTTATTTCACACCCGCACACACAACACAATCAATAAACAGCATCAGATAAGCAAGTTGATCATGACTTTTGAATTAAATACAATAGTCTGGACCTTGTTGACCTACTGGAAATGGTATTTACTATGTACTGTACTGTACAGGTCAAGATATGTTTTGTTTATTGTCTCAATGCAGATTTGTAAGTCACTTCAAAAATATCTAAGCCCCTACACCACATACCTAAAGCCAGAGGTGCCGCACTGTCGTCATGGTCTACATTTACATCAAGGATGAGGTTTATTTTTTATAAAGGTGCACGTCTTGACTAATTGTCTTCTAATCGAGAGCAGAGGAATCTCTGAAATCAGAGGCAGCCTCCTCTGGGAGCACTGTTCCCCATTTCAAATAAAAAGACAAGACAAAAGAGAGCCTCTGAAGTGCTATCTCAGCTGTCAACAAGCATAGCTCAGACAAGATACCAAATGTGACGAGTTCATGCTATAGGCGTACCTACACTGACCTGCTGCCATTTCCCTGGCAACACCCAAGTGTCCCATCTGCTGTGATTTCTGTATTTATTTTTGTCACGTGAGCACGGTGCAAATGGAACCTCAGAAGACTGTACATGATCCCTGTCCAAATCAAGAACAGCTTATTCCAGGCAGATACTGTAGAAGAGGAAGGGGGTCACAGGGAACATTTGGAGACCAGATGCTCAGCAGTTTGTCAGCACCATCTCTCTGACTTAACGCATCGTAGGGTCACACTGTTCTCCTGCGTGAAGCGGTATCTGTCAGGCACGACAACTGTGTACAAAAACACATGCACATACATAATAATGTCAATGTCAGTTATTTTGGTATACACAACAAATGTGGCTTACCTTGGCCACACATTGACATGGAAAATGTAATATCGCTGTGTTGCATCTACAACCAGAATATACCTAAATATATTGTTATTGTTGGAGTGACAATATGTATTACTGCACAGCCTTCCTTTATATGGAAAATGCAAAAACATTAGAAGCCCCTGGGACTGAAAAGCACTTTCCTTAATTCCTCTCGTTTTCCCGCCTCTTTTGAACTGGGCTTTCTCTGTTTTCTCTTCCATTTGCACCTCAGTGAGGATACAGGAGAGATGGATTTCCCACAGTGAAAGGCGTGCTCTCAAACTGCTTTTTAATCATTTCCAGAGCATGTTTTGAGACAGCAAGCACTGGCACTCTGGCCCTGTGCTCGGATCCCTTCCAGTCGCACACTGAAGGGCTCAGTGGGCCTGCTCGGTAATCTGTCACTGTAAGGGACAGAGGAAATGGCTGTATTTAAGCGAGAGGATACAGTTTCATCCCACAATTACATCTCTCCTGTGTTTACAGATCTTTTCAAAGAGAAAGAAAGGATGGTTGCACCGGCTGTGCAGGATTTCAGCTTTTTATAGCCATGATTCTGTCCTCAGAGGATACATTAGCTGAATGCTTTATTTACTTCAATAACAAACTATGAAACGTAACCTAGATTACAGTTAAAATGTGCAATTTGGATGAATGCGATTGTTGTTGTGCATTTATAAAAGATCTTGTTGCATATAGATTTATAGGTGTATTTTGATACTTGTTTTAACTGAAGCTCTCTAAGAGTGTTTTTTTTTCATTACTTTGTTAGCTTTTAGCCTGAAAAATAGCAATACTGACATGATTTCCTCTAAACCCACATTTAATGCCATGTAATGTAAACCCATATATAATATCTAATATTATAAGGATGTAAGTATACATGTAACTTTTCAAAAACCAATTGCAGCCCAGAATATCATCTGTGAGTAACTCATCGCATACTGTTTTATTTCAGGAATGGCAGAACTCCATTCAGAAGAACGCTGGCCTGGCTTTCATTGAGCTAATCAACGAAGGACGGTAATGTATCCATTCACTGTTATACATAACATCAGCCAAACATTTATCATTTATTCCTCCTTCTGTTATGTGCTTTTAAATAATATTAATTTCCCCCGGTGGCCGTAAAAAGCTTCCAGATTACTTTAGCTCTAAACCCCTTGGTGTCTGCTCTGTATTGGGGTGACTGGATGAAGTAAACATATCAACACTAGAGTGCAGTCACCCTCTCTTATGTTCTGCCTTCTTCTTATCTCCGTCCCTCCTGTTATACTGTACGTCCCGATGTCTGTGTCCCTCTTTCTGCCTCCCTCCCTCTCGTCTCGGGGTGTGGCAAGACTCAGAGTTTTCCAAAGAGCAGATCAGGGGCGGCTCAGCCTCCTCTCCCATCTGCTGACCCATCTGGCTCGGCCTCCTCTGTGCCCGGGCTCTTGCTGCAGCCCAGCCCGGCTCCTCTGTGTCCCCTGCTGGCCCCGGAACAAAGGGCTTCAGTCTGTAGGGCCACACGGCGCTGTCCAGGGTGCTGCTGACAGATACATACTTTCCCTGTGGTACTCCAAGTCCCTGCACACCTGCTCTGCTTAACTAGACAGATCCAGACGGAGCTGATCTGGTTAATCTGTTTTCTTTACAAGGCGTGGCTGACAAAGACAATGTTGTGTGTGTTGTTGCACATACAGCAGGTAGCTGTGTGCTGGTCCTTTGATTTATTGAACAGCTGTTTGAAAGGAAAACCACTTTTAAACATGTTGAGTGTGCCATGATATTACTAAAGAGATCACTTTACTCTGTATTACCACTCACCTCTTTTGCATTACTGTAGCTGCAACCCAGCATCCATGTGAGAGAACTGCCCCAGGTTGCCATGTTGAAATAGTATTTACATAAACCACCAGTATTATTTTCTGCACACAGCCCAAGTTTAAAAAGCCAAAGCTGCAGGGAGCACATGACTTGACCAATGACTAGTGTTTCATTCACATCACATAACCACAAAACACATTTTCAGGAGGTTTTAACTTGGATGGTCAATGATTTTAGATGACCTCTGAAAAACAAAACCTATATTTGTCCCATTGATTCCAAGTCTGATTACCTGTATTTGTTTGTGGTATGAAATATCAACACAAAAGTGCGATAAAGAGAGTGCATATCTTTTTCCCGTCTCCATATATCAATCGTCAACTTTCTTTCTTATCTATTCTCGGTTTCAAAACAAAGCTCGGAGTTGAAAGCCTCCTGTCTTTGAACAGTGAACGTCTGTCTATTAATGAGCGCTTGTCAACAGTTAAAGAGGCAATAGCAGCTGATGAATGCATCCTCGGGATTACTGCCTCTCATTGGGACGGGAGGGAAATTACAATCTGTATCAAGCACTGGAGAGGAACAGGGGCTGTTTTAATTAAAACAGAGGTAGCCTAATGGTGTGCAAAATGGCATGTAATCTACACACAGTAGCCAGGGTGTTCTCAATTATTAAAGAAACTGGAATTTAATGTGAATGTGGGTGGAGACCACAGAGCCTCCTGAGAAGTTGTTCACGCCCAGTCTCCTCTGCATTGTGGGCACTGGGTTGATGGTCTGGTCAGTGTGAAAAGATGCTCAGTCAATCAGTAGTGTGCCAGACTGGCTTCATGCTCTAATGACGCTCCATTCCCTCCCTAATGCTACAGAGGGATCTGTCACTGACCTGCAGCCTTGCAACATAACACAGACAAATGATGCTGTTTGCTAGTCTGCTCTTTCAACAAGCAGAATGTTGCGCCATGAAAAGCTATATTCGCCTTAACTCTACTTCCTCCTAGGGGGACATCCAATAACAAAGGATTTTAGCCAATGATATTTCCTAGATAATGTTAATATTATGTGTATACAATATAATGCTCCATTTAACTGTCTCTGTAACTCTAAAGGTTGCTGTGCCATGCCATGAAGGACCACATAGTGCGGGTTGCCAACGAGGCCGAGTTCATCCTGAACCGTCAGCGAGCAGAGGACGTCCACAAACATGCAGATTTCGAGGTATAAGCTGTGCCATGCTTTCTTACATCTGAAGTTAAATGGGGAGTAATGTACAAAAGAGAGAATAATCAACAGTGACTGGTTCTCAAACTCCCAATTGCATTATGCTCTGTCGAAACTGAATGTTTTGTCTATCCTCTAATGTACGCTAAACAAATCCTATTTAGTATAAAAATGTTCTAGGGTTGAATTTTTTCAGTAATTGTGTCCCTCTGTGTCCTCCTGAGGTTTCATTTCTCACCCTAACAATTCCGATACAATTATTTAATTACTGGTAGCAAAGGGAAATACAGGCAATATTAATTTAGGACTTTTTTACATTTGCCTACCAACTCAGTATATAGCCAGCTGAGTCTGTGCTGACCCCACCCACATCAAACAACTCCTGCAATCAAGATTTAAATGCTGTCTGAATAATAATCTTCGTGCAGTAATAATTATTTAGATTTTATTCTCCTCAAATGGATAAGGAAAACATGGCCCTTGAATATCATTTACATCAGTGCAAGCCTGTCAGCAAATTAGCACATTAAGCCTATTAATGCCACAGAGATTAATATCAAAACACATATTGCTGTATTAAAATAAAATAGTTTGTTTGGTTATTGTAAAACATTGTAGACACACACACACACACACACACACACACACACACACACACACACACACACACACACACACACACACACACACACACACACACACACACACACACACACACACACACACATTCCACCTCCTCTGTTAGCAGCTTGAACATGTGAGGAGTGATGAGTTTCTTATCTGGGAAAAGCAGCCATCCTCAAACTGCGGCTTGATTTACAGTTCTTGAGGATCCTTGACCTGCTAGATAAACTGGAAGAGACGGCTAGATATGCAATGTCAGGAGAAGGGGGAAGTGTACCTGGCCTCATCCGTTCTGTCTGCCAACTCCAGACAGCCTACACTTTTCATCGAGGTCTGATGTTACTTTATTACCCACTCTCCAAGATTGAAGATTCAGGAGGCAGATAAGACATTTTTACAATTAGGTTGGTGTCAGGGCGAGGCGTCATATGCCCTAAAATGATAAATAACGTTTGATATTTGTCACAGTATCACGTGGTGATGCGAGGTGACAAGCACAGATTGAGTTATCTTCCGTATGAAGAATATGTTGAAGTATAATATCTGACAGAATTCAAATTTGAAACAGGAAATTCAATTAACTTCCAGCTTCTGTTAGCAAATTAGATTTTGAATATTAGCAAGAGTTCCCCCAGGGTGGCATAGTGAGACAATCTTGTTTTAGCAGCCGAGATAGGTCAGTCAGATGTGCTCCTCACCATTACTTTTAGCACACTCGTACTGACTTCTGGAAATTGAATTTAAAACAATGTCACCATTTCTCATAGTGTGGCCAATTCATTTTTAAGATAATAATTATTTTCACTTTATCATTCTGATGCTTGTATATGAAATATTATTTGGGCTGTTTTTATTTCATATTTGCAACGGCTACAGATATCAATGTTTCCTGGTGGTACATTTTGTTCCAGAGGACAAAACATATCCCTTTTATATAATGGCAGTGTAGATTTGTTACCCTTGACAGACTATATTCTTTGTGGATCTATTAGAGTATTTTCCTTTCTCTTCTAATAGCCCCATCCACAGCTACCTAGCAGGGAGCCTCATCTGTCCGCAGTTAGGGAATGGACTGCCTTCAAGCACTCGCCATGATTTACTACACTCCTCCAAGGGAGCAGAAATATATCTCTCAGCTATCCACTAATATCTTAATGCACTCAAGTGTGTTGAATGAAGCCATAACATTCTTCAGTGTGACAAATGCTCCATTAGAGGGTATACATTATTCTGGCTTTATTCAAGTAAAACATTCTCAAATTCTATTAGTTCAATGTCAGGCTTAAGCAATGTAAACTGTACAGAAAGCCATTAATATACAATGTTCACACTATTGTTTTCCCTTTCCTTTTCTCTTTTTAAATTAGTCCAACTGCGCCCAATATGCTGCTGACAGAAAAGAAGAAGAGAAGATGTGCGATCACCTGATCAGTGCTGCTAAACACAGAGACCATGTGACGGCCAACCAGTTAAAGCAGAAAATCGTCAACATCCTCACCAACAAGCACAGTGCCTGGGGGACCCTGGCCCAGAGGTAAGCCCTCACATGAGTACAAGTTCACCTCCAGACCAACATGGGCCACGCTAAGTCTCTAACATGAACCATAGCCACTCCATGGTAGGTCCAACATAGAGGACCAAAGTTACAGTTCACAAAACTCTGCAGTGAAGGGATTGGACCACCAGTTAATGTCATTTTCCCAGGATCCGATAGGGTCAGCGATCGGGTCAGCAAACACAATTACAGTGTGGACTGGCTTAATCCCCTGGGGACAGCTGATTGGCCAGTCTTCCTACAGACAGGGATAGCAGAAGGGGGTTGGGGTGTTTCTGCAGTGTTGTCCAGGCATTCATTGACCCTCTCAGTAACACAGCCAAGCACCTGGTGGTAGTTGCAGACTTCCCCATGGGCCCTGTTAAAATAACCGCGGGGCTCTCCTGCTCTGCCTCCCACCTCTCACCTGCCTCCATATGGTCCCACAGATACAGTGGAGGGGCAGTGGAGGGGCAGGATCAAGAGCTGGTTATATTAGACAAACAGAGGTGTTACAGCCTACAGTATGTGTTTTGTTCCGAGCTAAGTGCTGAGAATATGAACATTCCTATTTTGTTAACAGCATAAACAGTTGTTATGAAGCCTGAAAAGGGAACTTCAGTTGCTTCATGCACACGTGACGTTTCTCATTCTGTATTAAAATGACCCTCACTGAATGCAGGTCAGACACAAAATGTTAACACAATCCAAATACTAAATTATGCTGCGAGTCCAGGCGCTTGGAAGACTTAAAGTCTGCCGCTCTCGCACAATGCACCACTGATGATTTGCCAAAACAAATTTTGCCTCTTTTCTGAAACAGAAGCTCAGGACTTGTTATTACTTTTTGAAAATACAATGCAGATGTTCAAACATGTTTGCTGAAATTGTGTTTGTTTCATATTGTAAGCCATGTTTATCGTTGTCAGGAAAACATATTCTAGCTGGCATAATTACTTTTTACTGCTTTATTTTATGTCTTTGACTTGCCGTATAGTTCAAAGAGTTTTCTTCCAAAAAAAAACAGATGTCGTACGCAGCTTCACTTGGTTTATTTTTGTATTTATTTAGGATTGATGCAAGATTATGCACCATGAAATATATTGGCAGTTTCAGTTTTATTACATTTCATGAGGCCATGCTATTAATTTCTTCCAACTAAAGAGAAGCTGGACGTTAACAAAAATTGTATTTTGTATTATAAATACTGTCAAATGTAAAAAAAAAAAAAAAGTGGCTGTGACTGAGAAGGCTACAGTATTCAAGCTTACTTTAATAAAACTGAAGTACCCTTAACAAAATCTATTGGATTGAATTCTGGGCTCTTGTTCAAATATAGATGGAGCCCCTCTCAGAGGCATAGCATTTGCATTTAAACAAAAGGTTATTGAGCGTGGGTGCATTGTAAATGATACCGCAAAGCTTCCAACAAAATTCAAATTTAATGGTAACCTGCTGGTGAAGAAAAATGATGCAATATGCTCACAAGCTCAAGGCAGTGTTGCAGTTCAGCAGCTTAGTCTTATTCAATGCTACATTAACTTTCCCATTTATGCTGCTCTTGTAAGATATAAAGCCCCCAAGCATTTTGAGGTGGCTGTCTGTTATGTCTGTGAGAAGGGGAGAGAGGGGGACTTCAGTTGTTAATGTTTGTTTTCACCCTCGTGCTCAGAAATTGCTTTGCCTTTACTCCTAAGTTCTGCCTGGAGACTTGCCAAGGGATATTTATTATTTGTCTAGAATATATTATAAACAAAATCATTCTCAGACACAGGGGACATAAACTAGTATAAGCTATTTCTGTATTTTTTACCAGCTTGTGTTTCAAGGATGCTTCTTAGATTGATAAAACCGCCTGGCCTGCCATTAGATGAATCCGTTATTGTCTGAATTACAGAGCACATTATCTGCATCTCTGAAGGCCACTCCATTCGAGCTGTTATTCTCTTTGTGCCAAACAGTGTAACCTATTGTTTTCCAGCACGTACGACAACAACCTACGACAAGGAAATATTCTGAAAACAGCTGCTCTGCAGTCATGAGATCTGAGTGAAGAATAAGCAGATCAGCCCCTATGGTGCCCTGTTAGATCATACTCTATGCTTGCCTGATGATGAATGTCCCCCTGTATAGAGTCGGCATAGGAAAATCAATACCCCTCAAATTGAAACAGTATAGGGTTGTATTGATCCAGCGCGCTAAATCAAAATGAGGAGGCTTTGATACATCTCTGCCAGACAGCTCTCTGCCCAGTAATGACACACTATCAATTTTAGCTTTACACTGATAAATCAAGTTGAAAATTGGATGTCAGAGTTTTTTCCAGGGAGAGAGTGATTTTCCCTGCCCTCTGGTCCCCTCTGCTGTTGACCTCTGAACCCTGCCAGTGGATTATAAAGTTCAGGCTCGTCTGAAGTGAAAGTAGATGTCAAGGCGACGCTGGTGAATTCATTGAAGAATAATGTCCACCACTTTTGCAGCACAGGACCAGCTAACCATGACAATACTATGGAGTCACCCTCGTTCCACAGTTATTTTACATTGCTGAAGAGTCAATAATGCAGCCATTGTTTATTTTACACACATCTCAAATGTGTGACCCAAAGAACAATAAAAAATATAAACACTTCTCAATCTCAGACAGGTATATTTGCCGCGTAACTCTTAGTTGTATTTCTTAAAAAAAAAAAGAAGCATTTTAATACTGTGCACAGACGATGTCTTTTTATTGATCATTGCATGTGATGCAGGCTTTAACAGACACCCAGGCACACCTACATATCACTGACACTTAAATAGTCACTACCTCTTGTGTCATTCCCTAACATTCATGTGCCTGCACTCCTCTGTACTAATTGTCTCGACACAGCCACCCTAACAGAAATGTAAAAGGGTCCGAAGTAGACAAACCTCCCTTTGTTCCCATGCGGGCGTCCGTGTTCACATCAGCTGCATCAGTGACAGCCGACGGAGGAGCCTCCACCGGCCCCCACAGAAGACCTTAACCTTACCTGACTAGTCTATTGATTGTCAACATTTCTTCTGTATAATTACTTTTTTGTAGCAGAGGAGAGAAAGGAAAATGGCGGCATATATTGATCTCTGGCAAGGCAGTGAAACAGCCGTTTCCCTTGACTAACAGTGAGTTTCATCTCTCACACTTGATGAATGGTAACAATCTGCCTGTGGATAATAACTTTGTGATGGAATGAACCTTTTTACTCACGATGCGCAAAGACGTTTTGGTCTCGCCTGGAGGGTTATCAATTCTAATAGAAGTCCATCAGCACAATGGGGGAGCACCTTGAGAGGTCCTCAGAGGGTCGGGGTCTGATGGCCCCTCTGGGGCAGGGAAGAAAGGCCAAGGTCTCTGGTAGTATAAACAAAAATCAGTCTGACAATAAAATAGATATAACTCTATAATATTACTACTTTTTGACATGTAATGAAGTAAAATACATATCATAACCTTCCCTCTTTTGTAAAATGTGCGATCACTGTTATGGATTCTATTACAATTATTAAGAATATACTTATAATAGTATACCACTCTAAAATCAATATATAAGTGGCATATTTTGCTATGGATTTCATGCAGCCTTTTCTTTTCCACAGATGCCTACTGTATATAGCTATTTCTGGTCCGAACCATTGCTCTGCAAACCATATTTTACTTTTCAGTCACTAAAGAGGATTCAATAAAGAACCGCTTCAGCTTGCAAGTGATAATGTTTTTATTCTTGATTTAATTAGATATTTTGTATAACATGATGCTCCTTTGTTCCTGCAATCTGATATTCTCTATACTTGCATTTGTTCTTGACCTACACCAGGCTCTGTTCCCGTGGGGCACTCTTAACCTTGCACACTGTGCTAATTATCTCTGGAAAGGGGCCCATTCACACAATCATCAATTTCATCGGGCGTTGAAATTGAGCTGGGCATCGCCTGACTGTGCCCCTTCTCCGATGAAAGATGGGGATCCGCAAAGCTGGCGATCCAGGGGGGGGTTCACGCACAGTACAGTACGGCTCCTCATCCCTCGTCTGGTCGCATACGTCTGTCTTCATTACACCAGATGACCTGGAGTTAATCTTGTTTCTGCTGTGTTGTTTCCCTTTCGTCTTTCTCCAATACCCATTCCTCCGTGTGTCTATTCTCCTTCTCTCAATCTACAAAAGAAAAGTCATATCCAATAACTAAAGGCACTTGGATCCTCACGTCTGCCACAGTGTTGAGTGCAGTGATAGAAATGGCGAAACTAAAGAGATGAAAGTATCTTGTACCATTTGCAGCCCTCTGTGGTAATCTGATCATGATGTTGGCCATACAGTCACTTCACTTGGCATTCGACAGACACATGATCATGCTTGATGTGTTTTTTTTAACTTTATTGGGTGCTTTGAAAACATTGGAATGAGCAATGCTCATCACCATATGGTTGCCAGTCACCACTTTTGGATGCGCATTGTCTTCAATGTATTTATTGATTTTCTATGTCTGATGGCAGGCTTATGGCTTTTTCGTGTAAGTGTAAGGAATCCCTTTCATTACAGATTAGCATATCTTGTTATTGTCTTCGATCAAAAGACCTCTTCCATTATGTCATTTGATTAAACTATATATTTTCTCTAAATAATCTGTTGCCAGAATAATCTATCTAATTCTGTTTTGGGAGGTACATATTGGGTAAGTTACCAATTAAGTATATATTTTTTTATTTTAATTTAAAATGTATATTTTATATTTTATTTGTGTACATCTCCTTTAAGATGCAGCAATGCTTGCATTTCAAACAGATTCCACATGGCCTCTGTAACTCACAGGCCCTATTAGGACAACTGAAAAGCAAAGAAAAGACCACTTGTCCTCTGAGTTGCACAAAACATTGACGTGTGTGTGTGTGTGTGTGTGTGTGTGTGTGTGTGTGTGTGTGTGTGTGTGTGTGTGTGTGTGTGTGTGTGATAGAAACCAGTCACTGAGCCTTTGAATAGAATTTTCACTGATTACTGGCATTTATTATAATTACCCCCTACTCATGTCACCAATTGGAAGCTTTTAAAAGGAATATAATGGTGTTTTATTGAATCAGCCTGTCCCTGTCCTTCCTCTTGACCGCCTCATACAAATCTCCTCTGCAAATAAATAGAATAAAAATTAAATCTTTAACCCTGAGATCCTCATCTGCCTGCAAATCGGCCCTGTACTTGTTTTATTTAGCCTTTCTGTTTTAAACATAAAGGTAATAATTTCTTTTTTTATGGAAATGTATCCTACAAGAGAATTGCCCAATTTTTTGGGAGGATCCAAGTCTGTAAACATTTTATATTTTATTTATGTCTTCAACTGCTGCTACCAATATCGTTCTCCAAACAAAAATCAGACAAAATATGAGAAACCTAAATAGGGTCTCAGCCGCCCTATTATAACAGCAGCACTACGAATATATCACCCTCTAATCCAATATGAGCCCTTGTCAGCTGTCTACTAGAATGATGTTATAGTTTTCTATAAAACTGTTATCAATCCTTTTATTTCTATTTTCCTCCCCATCTTATTTTGAATTACGCCTGTCAACTTTCCCTTTCCTTTCACTAACACTAACAAAACACATTCCCTGTAGACGGGGTGTTAGATCTGGCCACTCAAAAACCTCCACATTGTCTCCTTGAGGAAAGGTGTGCTTTAAATACCTATTTGAAAGGGAAGAGAATAGACGATAGTCCTCTTACACATTTATCTTACTGCACTTAGCAAGTCTGAAGCTTCCATAAATAATGGTGCTCCTGTTTCCTGTAGGTTATCAGTGCTGGAAAATTAGCTTTTAAAATGCGGTTTGAAATCCATTTAGGTGATTGATGGGTGACGAGGCTAATAAATTCTGGCAGTTTCTAGGAGGCCGGCTTACAGCCATTCTTTATGGTTGTCATGAAGCCAGACACATTTGATGTGGAAAATAAGGCGGTCCAAAGCCATCTCTGTTTAATAATGAATGCTATTGTATGGAGAATGTGTTGTTGTTACACAGACAATAGGCACAACCAGCTTTCTATTGTAATGGGGAATTGTATTTGATCACCTTAAACGGAAATATATTGTCTGCGTTCTTAATAAACATAGGGATCAGATTCCATTGTTAGCGTCTGCATTTTATTAAATGACTGAAATGTGTTCATGTGTGTGCCAAGAACCATTCTACCATATGGTTAAGGGTCCAATATACGAATGACGCTGATTTTAATAAAAACTTGCCCTTCTTGCTTTCTTATCCCCACCATGCTTTTTAATATATAAATGTAGTGTTTGGTGGTTTGGTGCCACTTCAGAAATCCCTTTTATGGCACGTCAAAGGCTCCCTACTGTAGATCTTAATCAGAAGCAATCCTCCTGAGCAGGTTTCAGACCACCCTCTGAGAGGAAGTTCTTTCAGCAGAGCACTTTGGCACAGTCCAAATCCGGTCAAGCACTGACAACATAGTCAGTAAGAATATAACAGGTCCTATCCTAATGGCATAATACCACATTCAAACCTAAACCATCTGCACAGGACAGATCAAAGGGGAAGACACATCAAAATGTTGGCATCAAACTCATAAATCACTAGGATAGGGTTTGGTTTGTTGTGCATTTAATATCTGTTAGCGACCAATGAATGGCTCAAAGTTGTACTTCAATAAACGTCCTTAAGCTGACCAAATAAAATGCCGTTAATACTGTTATAAGAAAATCTTCAAAGTGGCGGATTTATCCCCCACTGGCATCTGCTGTCTATTTGCACTGAGAATTAGGGGACATAATCTTCAGCAGTAATCGCCCAGTTGCCTACAGTGGATTTACATTTTTCACACTGTGTAATCTTGCATTTACAATATCATTTACGTGGGTTTCTCCTTTCAACCCACTGACATCTCTCTTTTCCTCTGTTAAGCTTTGAGGGAGATTGACAGGGGACAAGCTCAAGGCGCTGAGTCTTGCTCTGCATACAGCGACTCGTGATACTTTATGCATACAACGAGTGCACACACACACGCTCAATTTTGATTGATACTTAACTGAAACTGAGCTCTTGTTGCTGTCAGAGCCCAGCTAAGTCTCCTGAGCCTCTTGATTTCTGACATTTGTAGATATTATATGCAAGGAGCAAGAAGGCAGTATTTTGTGATGTGATCCCCTGTAACACTTTAATCTGTTTAGACTGCTTCAATACTGCGGCAGGGTGCAGAATCCATACAATGCAATAGACTGCTGCCTGCCAAGATCTTACTGTATCCTGCACGCACTGAATAATCTCTACTTGGATTTGGTTACACAGTTACAAATTCAATGTTTGTTTTTTTTAGCTTTGGGTGGCTGTTTTTTGTTAAAAAAATTATAATATGGAGGCAAAAGCATTTTTAGATAATAGCATAAATAGGTTTGCTCGACTAATGCATGTTTTGTATGCACTGTGGGGGTTCTCTTCTATCACTAAATATTGTAGCCATTTCTCTTAACATATGTCTAAAAATGAAGTAAATTGAACCTCATGCCTGGCTGATGTAATCACATCTAACCGTACGCTCAACTGGACACCAATTATTTTAATCACCAATATTTTTTAAGTATTACTCCTCACTGTTAAGGGTAAATTAAATACTTTTTGGCTGCAATTCCCTCCAAAGGAAACATAAGGGCTTTGAAATATCTCCAGCTAGTGCACAGTTGAAACAAGCAGCACTTAGTAACCTAACGCTAGTCTGCTGCTTAATGGTTTGCATTAGCTGCGAGCAATAAAATTATCCCAGGTCCTCACTAATGTTGGAATAATCATTTACAAAGATGGTTACCACATGCTGGAACTGTTTTCTTCTCTTTCTCTTTTTCTTTACGACCCTGATTCGATGTTATTAATAATGAATAAATATGCAATTTTCAGGCGGGTGGCTCCAGGGCTCTGGGAATCATTTCAATGAATATTTCAGCACATTATTTTAATCATGGCTCCACATATGCAGGGAGGGGGCTTGTTTTATAGGCTCATGCCTCAACCGCCCCAAAACCCCGTTCATTAAACCCCACGCTGTCTGCGTTGAGGTTCCTACCTTTGATTTACAAGACTTGTTAAAAACATTGTAAAAAAGGAGGCAAGCTGTGCCATTTATACTTGTAATTTGATGCTGTATTTGTTAATGGGAGTGCCAGTGATTTATGTGTGCTGCTGCTGCTGCTGCTCCCTGCTGTTCTGATGGTATAGGCTTTAGCAGAGCTAACACAACTAGGCCTCTGCAGAGCATGACACTAGGTGGCCTAATAAATCAGCTATCTGTGGCCTGATTTTTCCCTTCATGATGTTTCCTCTGAAAGGAAGTGGCTGCTGTAATCACACCATCACAGAGGGGTGTGTGCTCTATCTAACCTGCCTGTCTTTCTGTCTCTCTTATAGTCAGCTGCACGACTTTTGGCGTCTCGACTACTGGGAAGATGACCTGCGGCGGAGGCGGAGATTTGTGAGAAATCCATTTGGCTCCACCCACTTAGATGTCACATGCAAGTCACTGCAGGAGTATGGTGAGTTTATTATTCCTTTGGTGAGATTATCTCTTTCAACCCATCAAACTAAGGGAGCTGACCATCCAAGGACATCATTACCCCGTATTAAAGGTAGAATACCAATGTTACCACTAAAACCTAATTGAAAAAGACACTAAAGTTAGCCCGAGCCTGTCTATACAGTTTAGCATATTGCCTATGTGTCATGATTTATAGGTGATATATTTATGAGTCCAGTGAATTGAACATGACACGTCCATTTTATTGCACACTTTTATTTTCATTACAACACATGCTCAAGAACTCATTGGATCTCTCGCTTTGTTTCTTTTATTTGCCTGAAACTTTTTCTTTTCACTTTTCCTGATACTTTTTATTTTATTGACCCAAGCAGTCTTCTAGTGTTGCCCACCACCATGTGTCAATTTTGCCTTATGTCATGCAGCACCGACTTTTAAAGGAAAGCTGCTTAGTAGTATAAAACACCCTTCTCTCCAATCGGTAATTGAATAGCAGAGCAAATGTATTCACTGCACAAGGAGGATTGTATTGATTCGGAATTAATGGAGTAAGCGCCTTCTTTACTTTTATAGAAAATGGAAAACAGGCAATGCATTATGGGCAGGATAGCAATATCCTATTACTGTAGACTTAAGGACACACATGCATAATGATCATCATGTTCACTGACCTCTGGCTGCTCAGTTTGGAGCTACTGCAGTGGATTGTTGGTTGGGTTCAGGATGTCCTCTTGCTGCTTTGCTAGCTCTGCCTGCCATGACTTAGTGTGAAGATCACGGCAGCGCTGCAGAGAAACGCATGCCAGCTGCTGCCTTTGCTGCAGGTGGTCCGTATATGAGACACACATGTAATAATTGCACCGTCTGCTTTAGATTTCGGGTCGTTTCATTATTTGTAGCCTTAAACAAATTTTCGGGGCTTATGGAGATTTGTTGATACTGCTGTGGGGAGGTCTCAAGGAAACTAATGTCACAACATTAGCACGTTTGCACTGCTTCTAAATATAAAAAGGTTAAAATCTAATCTGCAAAGAAATTGCATTGCATTAACATTGTCGAAGTGTAGACACCATCAAACCTGTAAAACTGCAAATGTTCACACACCAAAATGTGCCTAGCTATTGGTCTATATTTTCAGTATGCTGCAAACAATCTTCACAACTAATAATTCATAATGGTAGACTTAAGTCTGGCTTTAGCTTATACCCCAAGGCCATTTATATAATCCGTTTTTTACATTTGCTAATGTTTAGCTGTTTATTTATTTATTAATGTTTTTGAATGACATTTTATAGCAGTGGTATTATATTTTTAACCGACCCGATGATACATTATGTTTAATTAAAATAAATCCTCTGCAAAGACTCTATTTCTCTTGGAACTTCTGAGTTAAGTTGACTGAATAGTGCAATGACAAAAGAGTAGTTTATTAGGCTATGCTTTGGAAACATTTCCATATAAAGTTACTGTATTTTGGTGATGCAACAAAGGCTAACCACCTACAACAATAATCTGTACTGAAACACTTTCTTTTGTGTGGATTATTTGGATGAAATGTTGCTTATGCTTGAATTAAAGAGGGGGATAATATTAAAATGTTTACAGGTCACTGAGGTCAGCATTCACCCATTTACTGCCATTTGTGCAGAGGCAGAGGCTGCCGTATAAGATGCCATCTGCTTGGGAAAGTAACATATTCACGGCCATGTCGGGAGCATGGTTGAGTATTTAGCCCGAGGATACATCAACATGTCGACTGCAGGGGCTTTGATCGAACCCTCGCAGACCCCTAAACTAAATATACTTAAAGGTCCCATGTCATGTCATGGTCCAAATGGACCAATCCGCGGTGTGGAGCCGTTACGTTACGTCGGCAGGGCCGTTATGTTAAGACTTCCTCACACACACACACTCAATCTTTTCTCAGCTGAAGCTCCGGGGACGGCGGGACTCGGCGAGGCTGTGAATCTGTGTGCAGGCTGCGGTTGTGTGTGTGTGCTCGGGCTGGTTTCGGGCTGGGTTTCGCTGTCTCGCTGAGCCCACACAGCAACCAGGAAACCACACCAGTAAGCCAGCTCACACTGTCCGCTCCTCGCAGCAGCGAGCCTCGCAACGTCCCGCCAACACGGCACCCAGACCCCACGCAGCATTCTCATCTGTTTGTCATTACTGGTGTCATTTTCTGGTTGCTAACGCCTTTGTAACATAATCACTGATGTTCCGCTGTAACGGTGGTGGACTCATCAGAACAGAGTGGGTGAGCTGACCAATCAGAGCACAGTGGGCTCACAGGGAGGGGGGGCAAGAGCTCCAACAAGCCATTTAGGACAGAGAGTGAATACACATACTATACAGAGATGCTGTATGAGAAAACAATGTGAGTTTGGAAAATTGCACAATATAAATCTATTCTAGTAGACCTCAACAATGGAATTATGATCAGTAGAAATGGCCATGACATGGGACCTTTAAGGCAGAAAAATATACATTTCAGCAGTTTCCATTGTTCCATTTGCTTTGTCAGTTAGCATCTCCCATTACTCTTTATCTACTCTGCCTTTGCTCAAATTTGTAAGTTTGTATCATTTCCTTATGTGTGACGGATTGACTAAAGACAGTGACACACATGCATATGATTCGATTCCATCAAAACTATTTGGTATGCCTTTTAGCTATCAGGTTTGTTTCTGTTGTTTAACACTAATGCCTCAGAGTAGTTGACTGAAGACTTGTTGAAGTCCTGCTTGCAGGCGGTGGTTTTAATGAGCCAAATAATGTATAAACTTGTCAAGTGAAAGGGATCGCCTGCGGTCGGAAGGCCTTCTTGCTCTCTTTGAGAGGTGAGCTGCACTTTCAGGATTTTCGCAGCAGGCTTTGATGTGGTTGCACGGCGGAGGCCAGATTTTGTTATGAGATAAAATGAGAAGGATCTTTTGTTCTTTTTTAGAACTTCAGTAGATTTTGTGGCAGTGACAGTTGGCAGTTTTGGTTTAAAATGTACTATGACAGGCTTTGCTACTTTGAAAAAAAAAGAAGAAAATTCCTTTTTAATTAGCATGGTTTTAAAGATAGGACCTGACTTTAGAAGATAATCCTGGTGCAAAGGCTTAGAGGTTAGACATCCATTAGACATAACATCGAGACTTTGTTCTAGATTTGACAGGAACACTATTGAACTTTTTACTGGCTGCATAGGCACCAAACTACAAACACCAAGAGGTTGTTTGAGTTGACCCTTGAGAGTAATTATTAAAGCTTTAAAAAAGGAGGAACTTTGGAAAACCAGTCAGTTGTCCAAATTGAATACAGTTTCTGATTTGACAGCAGGATGTGACAGTATACGCTCAGCTACTATCTTGAGTTTGAAGAGGGTAGAATTACACTGTTGTGTTCGCAGTGAACATCAGTCTTACAAGCTCACTAGGGTAGGATGGAAGCAAGCAGAAACGTTTTTTCTTTCTCAAAGAAACATTTAATTGAGCGATTGTCCTTTGTCGTTTCTGACAGCAGAAAACGCAAGAGACTCACAATCTTCTACGTTTTCAGTTAGACGTTACATCATTAAATATTTGTAGCGATTCATTGTTATGTGAATTTCTAAGGGACATCATGTGAAAATGTATTGTTTGCACTATAATAAAAAATGTATCACAAGTCTCATTTAATTATATATACAGTATGTTACTGTAACTTCACTCTTTATTGAATAACACAACTTTGGTTTAAACTTGTATATTTGTTCATTTCTTACCAGAAGGTGATTAAGTGTGGAATTTCCACCATACTCACTTCCTAATGGAAACAAATGCATTTGATATAATTTTGATATACAGGAAACATCTAGATTTAAAAATTTTACTGTAATTCTTTGGGAACATTTTTAAAATTGAAGTTCTAAAAACTTTTGTGCAATGTGTGTGTGTGTGTGTGTGTGTGTGTGTGTGTGTGTGTGTGTGTGTGTGTGTGTGTGTGTGTGTGTGTGTGTGTGTGTGTGTGTGTGTGTGTGTGAGAGAGAGAGAGAGAGAGAGAGAGAGAGAGA